CAACAAGTGGCTTTGCAAATAGGTCTGTTTTCAGAGACTGTGATGTGGCCGCGATGTTTGTTCATGAGAATGCCTCAGGGTACGTGTGTGGCTGCACACAGAGCATTACCCGCACAATAGAAAGAAAGTCAACGCATTTAATGGTGTACCTTAACAGCTTGCTCAAAGGCACAAGAAATTCCAATCAGTTCTTGGACTTGCTTTATTGCATATGGGATGGAGCGCCTAGTGTCTATCAAATGGATGAAAGGAAGACAGGAATCCATGAGAATCCTCCAAGCATCTCCTCTTTGCTTAACAGCTTCTTTTTCGAGAACAATATCCAGAGCTAATTCACCACTTTGACTCTTGGACGGGTTCCTAATCCAAGTCATTGTGTCAGGAGAAATCCAAACTATATTTGCACTTGAAACCCTTGGATCACCTGTCCATTATGAGTGTACTTTGTTAGAATCAAGCATTCATTTCCAAGAAAAACCGCGGTATAATTTTCTTGAAATTCTTCGCAACTGCAGTTATCCTAGGAAGCCATAACAGAAAATGCATATATGTGCATAGTACTTAAATGTGATATACTGTAACACCTTAAGATGACATCAATAAGAATAGAGAAACCCTGAAACCTTTTTACCTTATTCATGACAAAACAACCATCATTCTTTACATTTATACTAATGAACCAGCGTAACTATCCAGTTCTCCGTTTTAACTAATAAACCAGTTCAACACAAACAGGTTTGGAACCTTGGTCCAACCTATACTATCAACCTTCTCCTTTTTCTCTTTCCATGACAAAACTCAATTTAAAAAGAAAATTTAACAGTACACTAGATGTAAAAACTGGATTGGATTTATACTCAAAATGACCACGCGCACACTCAAATACCGTGAAACATGTTCAGTTAATCCAAAACTACCTTTGATAACTGTATCCAACAGAATTGGGCATATCATATCAGCAAGAATGTGAGAAACCCTCTCTAAGTGATCGTCACTCGCATCTGGCCAAGAGAACCTCAAGCATGGTGTGTTCAAACACTTGCTTCCAGAATTGTAGCAAAACGAACAAAATTCACTGCATAACATAAAAAATCATAATGATGCAAATGTTTTGTAAGCGCATAGGATTTATTTTGCACACAAAGTAATAATTAAAGATGGGTAATAAGATTATACAGCAGTTGATTAGTCTCTTGAATTGATAAAGATGCAAGGTAGATAGAAGAGTATAAAACAGATCAGGAATCGCAGCACAAAGACTTGTAGGCTGATTTCTGTGACAAAATTAATGAAACAAGAAAGGCAAGAAGGCATCCTTAGGATGAGGTCCATAAAGATGGATACATACTAACAATAGCTCATGCAAGGGATACTAGTTATTGATGCCAATTTATCTACAAATGGTTCTTTCAATGAAACAGTCGCTTTTTTAGTGGCAAGTGTAGGAGTAAGTGTTAAAAAAAAACTTTAGTTTTAGAGAACCCCTAATTTGCCGAAAAAACTATAAGCAAAGTAATATTAAAATGACTTGGACTACAATGACCTAATAGAGCAAAATCGTTCCAGAGGATTCATTTAGCCAATCCTAACATTATTTGGGCCTGAGCTTATTTATTATAGAAATTGCCACATAAACGATGAATAGTCTTCTAGGATATGTAAAGAGATGAATTGCATTCCAAGTCCACGAATAAAGAGCCACATCTGCCTGACATATAGAAATAGATTCGGGATGAAATGGACCCAAGGAGAGAAGAACGCATATAAAGGTTCATATAGCTGAAGCCGAGTAGTTTCGGATTGAGGCACAGTTAATTGCTTGACATAGGTGTAGGACACTATTCTACACTATTTTAAAAATATTAAACCGATCAGAGTCCTTCATCACTTTAATATTGACCTTGTAGCCTTTAAGCATAAAAGTACTACACAGTTGGTGCAACATGCGGACAATTCCTCATGCTTGACTATCAAGTCTCTCAGTCGGACAATAAGTGAATTTAAACATATTCAGGTAAATAGGATGAGTTGAAAACAAGGCGCATGCCATGTTTACAGTTCCACAGATGATAGGACCTGTAGTACTAAAATGAATAAAGAGCTGCTAAGATTTCCCGCTCTAGAGATGCATACACATATGACTGTCTTTACATCACATACTGTCACTAAAGTTAAACCGTCTAACATAATGGTCTGTGATGCTAAAAACTTAAGAAATTTAACAACATACCGATTGATAAAACAGCAAGATCAGTAAGTCATATTGAAGCAATAAGAAAAAAATGGTGTTTGACCTCACTGACAAAACTATTCTCTTGAAAAGATTGCCAATCTTTTTTCTCCTCTGGAATGAACTGATATTTTCTTGGCATCTTTCAAGAACCTCAAGAACACTGATTCCCAGATTTTCCAGCTGTCCCTGTTAACCCAAACAGAAGCATCAATGACGAAATAGTTCACGAAAAAAATACTCCAAAGCTTGTAAGTTCGAAAAATAGGTAGAACCTGGTTGAGAGTAATATGACCAATGAGGCCAGTCCCTGTTTCAGAATTCTCATATCCTGCTTGTTGCCCTCCATATCTACAAGAAAGAAGCAGTAAGATCACCGACTAAAATAATTAGATTATTTTCCTTTTACCTCTTCACAGAGGTCGCTACTATATCTTATAGCATATTGGATATGTATAAGTTAAACTGAGATACAATAGTGCAAACTTCGAATCCAAATTTTATCAACAATCAACAGGTTTTAGCATGACACTTGAGATGTAAAAGTTTGAGTACCTTTATAATGAAAGCAATGAACTGTATGTGCAAGAAGTGCTGCTATTAAATTGAGGTAAAACAAATAACTAACTCAAAATGATGATAATGGAACTAACGTGCTTGATAGTTTATGAACAGAAAAGCTGTTCATGTCTAATAATTTGGGAAAAACTGCCAGATCTTTATCATGAGAAGAAAAAGTACTTGAAATCATTCCTATTCTGAAGATTGTCGCCACCTTGCAGCAGTTGCGTTAGCTCTCTTCGATTTCAAGGGAGTGAAAAAAGTCTTCTGTACATATTAGAGGAACCTTTTCGTTCTTTCACACTTTTTGAGTACCTTCGACATTTCAGTAAGCATAAATGATGGGTGCTATTTGCAGATAATCATGTTTTCTATGACGATTTTCTACTTTCTGGATAAATCTTATGCCGAATTTTCCAGTTTAATCAACAGCATTTGTTACTTTATCCCAAACTTAAAAATAAGAAAGAAACTCTTCACTTTCATGTAGTACCAGAAATACCACTTGGGCAGCAAAAGAAAATGGAGTTCAAAAATTTATAAACAAGAAAAGATAACTGCAGGCATCAGAGAATAGCAGCAAAAGTTCAACTGAAAATTTGCAGAACCTCACCAAGGCAGTCTAATAAAATAAATATTTAACTGTGAAACCAGTGTAATGCAATTCCATTAGATCAGGAAAAATGTTTTTTGACGCAGTAACTAAGTTGGCTACAATCTGGTCGGAGTATATTAAGGTAATCATTGTCTTTCCCCTACCCCCATCAAACTAACTTCCATGGTTCTTATCTCAACTTCTATAAATTATTATTGGCAAAATTGGCCTAATAACCCCCTAAAACGCACTAGATTTTAAAGCCAGCCTACTAATTTTTATTATTTCCTTATTGAGATTCAGGTCTCAAGTCCAATGACGCACCTGTTCCACAAGCCTCATGTGTCAGGTTTCAACAGTGTACTTTTGTTTTGGGCAGATAGTAGGTACACAGACACACTATTAGAAGACAAGAAAGTGGTAGCATAAAAAATGAAAGATTAGGGTGCTTACTCTATCAAGAACTCATCAGCAGCATCCTTAAGACATACTTTACTCAAATGATTCTTGACGAGGTACGCTGCTTTTTCTCTGCAGCACCCTCTACGGCACCCACAATCATTCAGATAAAGGATTACCCGACGGTCAGAAACATCATTCTTGAAGCTCACTCCACAAAGCAGTATCTCCTGAAATAAGAAAAAGGGGTTGGGGACACAGTTAGGTGAGTGCATATAAAGTAGCTGGTCAGAAGTGGCAGAAAAGGACTTGTATTCGAAGCACTACCTTCATCATCTCCCAGGAGGAATTGCTGCTCGGAGAGGAATCAAGAACTGCTTTGTATGCAGGATTGGACATAGCAGTTGCAGCCAACACTCCAACAGGATCACCAGCACCAAATTCACTTGGGAAATTTGACCCACCACTAGCCCCATACTCAAATTGAATAATGGAATTGCTGGAGACATTCCGAACAGTCCCATCATAGCAAATTAGCACATCACGGAGGATGGCCATCAAGTTTTTGAACAAAGTCCCAGGTTCAGTCAATCCCCTTGTTGAGCGGACAATCACTTCTCTACTAGAGATCGAATGAATCATCTCCTGATAAGGGTCTAACCCGTAGAACAGACAGCTTCCAACCAACCCAAATTCCTCCGAAGGGTTACTACCAGCAGAAGGATAC